CTAATGTTCCATTATTGGATGAGTTTCAGTTGTTGCAACCCAAGGATGCGGACAAGGTGTTTGAGCCAGTCCAATCTACCACGTTCCTCCTTGACTCGTGCTCCACTTGGTTGATTGAAAAGTCTGTGGAAAGGGTTCAAGCCCTGGGTCCAGGAGGCTGTCAATAACTTATTGATAGAGGAAGTGGTCCCTGTCCTGTTGAAGGATGCAATGGTTGGACCATTCAGAAAAAGGCCAGGCCTGAATCCAGGGATACTGGATAACTCTGTCTAGACCAGGGTTTGGCAACCCATGGCTCCGGAGCTACACATGGCTCTTGAATCCTGCTGCTGTACCTCCGTTGCTCAAAATATGCACTGGCACAGCTGCCAATCTGCGACCGAGTCTCCGAGTTACAAAATACCAATAGGTGATGATGAGGCATCCATTCAGGAATGCCCCGCTCTGCTATTGTGCAGAGAAAGAGTGGAGCAAGCTTCCTGCAGGTTCTCATGTTACACAAAACGCTGCTGAAAAGACTCTCTTTGTCCAAATGTTATCTCCTTCCTCTGAATGTTAAAAGCTACGCTTGGGACCTGTAACAATTCACATCACTTGACTGTTTATCTGCTAATCAGTCAGGAAACACACCTATATCTTTGACTTCCCCCGGTAGGCCAAGCATGGATAAATCGAAGAAAAGAAAAGTTTCTGAAGAAAACCAAACATTTAATGATACACAGGTAGATTCATTTGCTTTTACTGCTGACAAATTTATGGGGTTTGCTGTTTAATGCATGCAGCCCTTTAGCACTGACTTTGACTCTTCAGGAAGCTGTTCTCCTGTTCAAAATATATGAAAGGAGTCCTACTAGTTTTTAATGTAAGATTAAAAATAACAGTTTTTAGTGACTGAACAAGAGCTGCAGCTAAATCATAATAAAGTTATACATAGCATTAAGGTAAAAAATGATATATGCAGTGTTATCTTCATTTTAGATGTCAAAAGGGTTTTGCGGCTACTGGTGTTTTCTTTTGTGTGGGAAACGGGTCCTAATGACTCTTTGAGTGGTAAAGGTTGCCCACCCATGGTCTAAAAAGTGGAAACCCAAAGATAGCTAACCACACTCTGGTAACTTCCAAAATAGAGCATTGTAATGCACTCTGCATGGGTCTGCATTGAAGATTATTTGTTTGCTTATGAGGTTGCCGATTAAATTAATAGAGAAATGTTGAATGAATGGCCAAAAGGATTAATACATATTTTAATGGTGATGAAAAAGCAAGGGTTAATTTAAAAAGGTTAATTTAAAATTTAGAAAACAGGGGGTTTCTGTATTCCTGATGTTAATTTCATTATATAGCTTACCAATGAGGTATACACAATATTATACTACTGGCAGATGTAATAATATGGCGTAAATTAGAACAGAAACACATAGAAATATCATTATTAAATATTTAATAAGATTAAAATTATGTTTAGAAACTGTTTTGGAAATGGTACTTATCTCCAGTTAAATATATGAAGAATGAATATTCCAATGTTTGTTGGAAATACAACCAGGAAGTGGGTACATATTTCCATATGATGTGGAAGTGTAAATATATAAACAAGTTTTGGGAAATGCTTTTCAAAGAAATTAGTAAAATTGAATTTAAATATTGGAAATGACCCTGGACTAGCATTATTGTCATTATTTAGAGAACAGATGGGACAAAATGCTAAAGAATTGATAATAAAGAGCAGAAAGAGTAATACTAGAAAGAAATTGGAAACTAAAAGGTGAATATCATACAGGACAGGTATAAAGAAATCTAGAATATAGCTGTTAATCCTACATTAACTTGTGAAATTAAATGGAAGAAAGTTTTGATACATAATTTTTTTTGGAAAATATTTGGAGAACATATATATTTTAAGAAAAGGAAAGGGGTGTCAACCAGAAGAGTCTATGCAGTTCTGGAAGGAAAGCGAGGACACATGAATAAATAAATGATCTTATATTAAGTGACTTGGGTTTTTTTTTCCTGGTAGAGGGTGTACTGGTATTATTTATTGTATTATTTAATTCTATTTGTGAGTAATATTTACTTATGCCCATTGTTATTAGAGTATTTGTATTCTTTTTGCTAGTTTAATTTTGTGTGTGTGTGTGTGTGTTTTAAAATTGATGGCAACAGGAGAAGGGTTTGGCAGAAAATGAGGTGGCTGGATGGGGTCAAAGAAGCAGTCTGACCTTAAGTGTACTCTGAGGGATGGTGGAGGACAGGAAGGCCTGGAGGAATGTTGTTCATGGGGTGGCCATGGGTCGGATGTGACTTCGCAGTTAACAACAACATTTTAAAAATAATGCTTGTTTCACTTTCATCTGTTTGGAGTTACGGGTTTTATGAGAAGTGACTTCAGAACTTCTGTTTTTTGTTCATCTGTGACCATAAATAAATGTTAATGGTATTTATTTTTATTCTTTGGCCAGGGCGACTTATTTTATACTGTTAATTGTGTGTTTTATATTGTTATTTATGTATTTTAATTTATTGATTTGTAAGCCGCCCCAAGGCTTCGACGAATGGGGTGGCATAGAATTTTTCTAAATAAATAAATAAATAAATAAATAAAATAATACAGAAATTTGATTTGAAACTGACTTGATTGAGGGTGTCATGGTTGATGTATCAGATCTTGCGTTATATCACTGGGTCTTTTCTCTGACCTCCATTAACAGTTTACTATTTTCCATTTCAAGGGAGTTTTCCATTCTACACGCCTTGGGAATTGTTTAGTTCATTTTCTCTCTCTAATTGCATGTCGTTACATTCTCAGCACTTTTAAATCCACAGGGCTTCTCCCACAGCTATGGCTTTTAAGAAATGTATGTCATACAATGCTACATCAATTTCATTTTGATCCATTTTTGACCCATTCTATGTTGATTTGATGACAAAATCCATTTTTAATATAGGCGTATTTTGTGGCGGTCTTGGACAGAGTATTTGATTTTGATCCTGAATTAGCTAACGGATGTCATTGTCAAGTAGTTCTCATTCTTGGCATTGTGTACTCATAGGAGTCTCTGCTATGGCTGAATGAAAGTTAGAACACATGTTTGGCCCTCCTGCTTTTACAGCTCTGAAGTTTCCATTGCATTTGAAAACAGATGCTGTCATCAATCAATTAGATCAACCAGAGATTTCCACTGATAAATGTATATCAACAGGGAATAAAAAGGATACCATCTTAAGCAAGAATGGAAAAGGGAACCAGAATGTTTCTTTTGCCTAATCCATCAACTGCCACTTTATGGATCTGAGGTTACACCTTACCCAGCATAAATTCTTATTCCATGTGTATTAGACACCATGATGTTTTTTTTAATAGGTCTTTGTCTGAGTTGGCCAATTGGTGGAGCTGTAATACAATGAAACTTTTTTAAATCTAAGTTTGGTGAAGTCTCCTATGGGGAGAAGTGTATACACTTTATTTATATTCTTTCTGTTTGCAATGAATTATTGAACTTTTATTTAAAAATTGCAATTATTGTTATTTTATAAAAGAGAGTTCCACTGGGCTGCTGACTGCTTGCTGTGTGAAGAAAATAGTGGACTGGGTATTGCCTTGGTCTGGGCTAGGAGGCTTCTCTTCTGTTTGGAAGTAAAACCTCTCCATCACCAGAGAATGCACAGGTGATCCTTCCCCCACTGGTTCCATGTGCATGCAAAAGAGCCTGGGGGATCAAGGTGAGCCTCCTGGTGCTCCATGGCATGAGCGCCAGGAACCAAGGCAACAACCCATCTCGGTATCCTTCTGGGATGGAAGAGTGACCAACCAGGAAGGAATGGAAGTAGTGCAGTGTGGGACCTCCAGTCTCAGCTGACAAAGCCTATCCAAAAGCAATCCAAAAGCTGACAGCTGGGGAAGGAAACAGTTGGATCAAAAAATCATTCCCTACTTTGAGGGCAACCTTTTGCTGTGATACACTGTCAGTAACATTTAGAGATCTCATGATGCTTGGATCAGAACAAGTGCAACTGAGTGCAACAATTATGATTCCCACCATGTAGTGACTGTGATGTGGTCACAGCAAAAGGAAAGCTACTTCTTGGACGCTATGGCACTTTCACGACAATGGATTTGACTTCAGCTGTCAGAGTCTTCCTTTGAGCTTGAAAAAATGTGGGCTTCAAAATCTCAGTTTCACATCTCATCAATGTAATCAGCATGGAATGGTTCTTCCCTGCCAACATCATGAAGAGGCTCTGGTTACATGCTCGAACTGAACTCTGAATGGGTTCCAGGATCGTGGATGACATCTTTCCTGAATCCATCTCAGATGACCTCTACACCTTCTGTGATGGGCATCCATCTCAGATGGCCTCTACACCTTCTGCGATGGGCATCCATCTTCCTTGTCACATTCAAAGACCTCAAACTGCAGTGCTCACTCTTATTTATGGGACTTCTATACTGCCTAGCCAGATATTCTCTGAAAATTTCAGATCAATGAAAGCCATGAAGCAAGAAAAGTTTATAATTATATATGAAATATAAGTTTAAAAAACCCTAACCCTAACTCTAACCCTAACCCTTAGCACCAATTCAAAGTTTCAAAATACAGAAGCAAGTTTAGAAAAGACTAAAATACAATACTCAAATTCCTAGAGGACAAAATGGAAAGGACTTCACCTGGCACTGGAAAGAGAAGAAGCAGTAAGAAAGCATTAAAGCTAGTTATATTAGTCAAATTTCTGACAAATTATTGCTTCCTAATGACCTTCAGTGTGTGCAGGAAAACAATTCAGGAGATGACCTTTTTTGGATTCAAACTAAAGCTAAGTCCAAGTCAAACCACCAGGCAGAAAAAAAAACAAACGTACAAGAATCTATATCTCTTGTTTATTTTAAAAGAAAGCAGAAATTGTCAGATTAACGTCAGTCATTATCACTTTGATGTGGCTCTATCATTGGTTGAGTTACTGATGAATTAGCAGGAAATGTTCCCTGCTGTTGCAGTCACAGATTATTTCTTCCTGATGAGATGATCTCTGCAATTGAGGTTAGGCTTCAAAACAATAATGTAGCATTTGGGGAGAAAGATGCATCCCAGGAGACCAGCGCCAGATGCCAAGATGGAGAAGATCTCCACAGCCACCGCATACTTCCCCTTGGTGCTCAGGTAGGTGGGCACAAAGGAGACCCACACACTGCAGAAGACCAGCATGCTGAAGGTGATGAACTTGGCTTCATTGAAGCTGTCCGGCAGTTTCCTGGCCAGGAAGGCAACGCTGAAGCTGAGAAAAGCCAGGAAGCCCATGTAAGCCAGGACAGCATAAAACATGGTGACAGAGCCTTTGTTGCATTCGACAATTGTCTTTCCAGCCAGGGAATGGAAGTCCAAGTCTGGAAAAGGTGGAGAGGTCAGAAACCACACAGCACAAATAATACCCTGGAGGAGGGGACAGGCCAGCACAATGGAGTTTGTCACCTGTCTGCTCAAGAATTTTCTTGCCATGTTTCCTGGCTTGGTGGCAATGAAGGCCAGAACCACCATGACAGTTTTGGCCAGCACAGAAGAAACAGCAACAGAGAAAGTGATACTGAAAGCAGTTTGCTGCAGAAGACAGGTGACCTTAGAGGGTTGCCCAATGAAGAGGAAGGAGCAGAGGAAGCAGAGGAGAAGAGAGATGAGGAGGACATAGGAGAGATCGCGGTTGTTGGCTTTGATGATGGGTGTATCACGGTATTTAATGAAGGCTGCCAACACAATGCATGTGACCAGAGAGCAGAAAAGAGCCAGAGATACTAGAACAATTCCCAATGTCTCTTGATAGCAAAGGAAGTGGGCCTTCTTGGGGATGCAGTGTGCCTGGTTGTTGTCTGGGTGTTGATCTTCTGGACATGCATCACAGCGATCTGCATCTAAAACAAGCAAAACCTATTGAAGTATCTCAAATATGGCATACATTTTCTGACTCTGAGGAACAGTTCAACTTTCTTTTTATTTTCCTCCATCCCTCCCCCCAGCCAGCAATATCTCTTCTTTATCTTTTTTTTATACCTCTGATAAGTTTTGGTTGAATTCTGGGATGTCAGGATATCAGAAGTGTACAAAAATCAGTCTTCCTCCCTCATTCCTAAAAAAATGAAATCTCACCATTCCAGATACATGTTCAATCGCATGTAAAGAAGGAACCCTAGAACTGAAAATGAAAACCTGGCCAGTGTAAAAAGTCAACGACTGTATGCCCCATGCAATGGTAGCTCAAAGTGCCACTTACTTAAAGAAGCGTATTATAAATCCCTTTTGTGTAGATTACCCAATGTTCCTAGAGGAGATGTGCTGCAGGAGAAGCTGGGTGTCAGAGCATAAAAATGGCTACAGTTAAGAAGCATGATTTCTCCGGAATGTCCAATGTCAAGTAAAGTAACTCAAGTACAGTTGAGGAATTACTGGGAATGAATGGGCATTACGGAAACCTGGTGAAGAGGTGATAACCAATGGGATATGTTCCTCCCTATGTGTAAAATCTGTAGACATTCCAAAGGGGAATAAGTGGACCTCACTGCATTTGTATACTGTACCTATTGGCCCTGCTCAGTTCTTACCTCGGACCTTCAATATGTGTATCAGGTACCTGTCTTATTAGAAATTGTCCCTTCTGGACAGAGATCACATCTGAAGCAGCAAACTGGTTTTCCCTCTGGAACTTTTCTCTGGTGTCCTGGAGAGCAGCTCTCCACACACCTTGCAAAAGGTTTCATCTAGAACAGAAAAACGAACTCTTGAAGACATTCAGGTGAGGGAAAATGCACAACTGAGGACTAGGGGAGAATCTACACCGGGCCTGTGTAGATACCATACTGGTACCATAAGGCCTGTTCCACTGGCTCTCCTCACATTATTTCTGCCTTCTCTCCCCGATTTCTACAGAACAGTTATACCATGTTTTTTAATATCTTGTGTTCCCTTCGCCCTGTAAAATACAATAAAATGGTTGGAAGGGGCCTAGAAGGCCAGCAGGTCCAGCCTCCTGCTCAGTGCAGGACTCAAGTTAAAACTTCCCTGCCTGATGGCTGTCCAGTTGCATCTTGAATGGCAGCAATATGCAAGATCCTACAACATCCCAGTCATATTCTCTTACAGACAAACTTTTTTTTTCCTGCTGTTCAGATGACTTTTGGCTTCCTGTACCATGTGTCTCCTACACTCTTGGATGTCCATGAAGAGATCATGGCCTTCATCTTTGCAACAACCTTTCAGAGACTTGAAGAGTGATATTATATCTCCTCTCCATTTCCTCCTCTCATGACTAAGCGTGCCCAGTTCTTTCAGGCTCTTCACACAGCCTTGTTTCCAGTTCTTTGTTCATCTTTGTTGCCTTCCTCTGAGACTCTTCAATTTTGCCTGCGTCCTTCATCCACCATGGTGTACAAAACTGGACCCAGTTCTCCAGATGAGGCTTAACCAGTGCTCAGTAGAGGGTAGCTAATACATCACATGATTTGAAAGTGATATTTCTATGAAGGCTTCGCAAGATTGCATTTGCCTTTTTTTTTGCAGCCACTTCACATGGTTCACACATAATCAGCTTGTGAGCTACAAACAACCTCGAGATCCTTCTCACTTGTAGTATTGTTGAGTAAGTATTCCCCATCTTGTAGTGATGCTCTTGGTTTCTTTTACCTAGGTGCAGAATTTGGCATTTGTCCCTATAGGATTTCATTCTGCTGTTTTGAGCCCAACTCTCCAACATATCAAGATCACCTTGAATCTTCTTTCTGACTTCCAGGCTATTAGCTACCCCACCCAGTTTTGCATCATCTGCAGATCTGATAGGCATTCCCTGCACTTCCCTATCCCAGTTATTAATGAAAGCTTGAAGAATCCTGGGCTCAGGCCTGAACCCAGTGGTACCTCACTTGTTACCTCTCCCCAGTTTGAGAAGGTGCCATTAATGAGCACTCTTTGAGTCCAATTCTGTAGACAACTGTGAATCCTCCTGTTTGTCGTTCCATCTAACCCACTTTTAGCTAGTTTGCTAATCAGGGGTCATGGGAAACATTGACAAAACTTTGCTGAAGTCAAGGTAGATCATGTCCACAGCATTCCCGCAGACTCATCAGTGTGTGCTAAACTTGCAATACTGTTCTGGGTCTGAGAGGAGTGACCTCAGTAGGTTGGGGATGGTAGAAAGAGAAAATGTTCTTTGGGGCCTTCAACCAACAACCAACAAAGACAGGACAAATGAACCCTAAAGGGACATTCCCGACCATGCATCTCCATTCCAACTCCTCCAACTTCTTCCACCATTGCAGTTTTGTGTTCCCAATGCTATGCCACATTCCGGAGTGTGTGTCCAACTGTGAAAATGTGTCCTGCATGAATATTGGACCTCTGCTCCCACATACATTGAAGTAGTGCTACTATAAATCTTTCCTCAGATTTATTCAGTGGATTTCCCCATTACATACGTTTTGCACTACTTAATGGATAGGATCACAAAGTTCTTCTGCATGCCCACAGATCGCTCAGCACCACTGCAATAGCAGCTCATAGAAAAAAATTTCTGATATGGAAACAGGTCATTTAGAAGCTGTCTCCTACAGTTGGGTCACCTAGCACAGCATTACTTGCTCTATTTGTGATACATCTTCAGGGATTCAGTCACAGGATGTTTTACCTGACCTACCTTCAGATGACTGGGACTGAACTTGGGATCTTGAGGGCATAAACTTTGCATTTTGCAACTGGGAAACCTCCCCTGCTTAGACACAATAAGCCTTTGGTCTCACATAGAAATGCAACATCTGATCTCACAAGGCAGAACCACTATCTGAGCATTTCCGTGACCTGAGAACTTTCTCTTCAAGCCCACCTCTGAAGCCCAAGTGATTGCATCAGAATGAATTGTCAGCTCCTGGCCTGGGGGAGCTCCCAGATTCACTTGTCCAACTTTGACAGGGTAAAAAGATTCGTTTGAGAAGAAGATCCAGTTTAGAACTTCATATCTTTTGCCATATTCAGTGAAAGAGACTTCATCTCCAGCACTGTTGTTGAAACGGACATCCTTCAAAGAGGCAAGAATCTGAAAATTTAGCAAGACAGAAAAAGAGGATGTATGTGAGGGAGTGAGTTTGCTGATCTGCTAACTTCCTTTGATTGCCATTAAAATACAAGACTCTCTTTTCCTGCACTCCATTGTTTGGTTTAACAGTTTGGGCTTCGTTGACTGGTTGCAACTTGTTACAATTCATCTTCATTTCTTTGGGAAGGAGGTGGAGGGAGTTTGCTCACAGCAGGAAAGAACTCAGCATTGGCAGTAAAGAAGGAACTCTGGTTTTTGGGAGATGCCTTCTATTTTATCCAGAGGGCTCAGAGTGGAGCAATACTGCATTAGAAACAAGAACGTATGTTCTTCGAGTAGGTCTTGCCAGATTTCTCCCTTCCCAGTATCCATAAATGCATGAAGAGGGAGACAAGTGTTTTTCTACATAAGGTTTCTAAGCAGCTCTATGAGCATCTCCACTCGTGCTTTACTGAGGTTTCTTCTTCTGCATTCACCACCAAATTTTCATAGATTTGTCACACCTGAAAGAGGATGTTACCTGCCATGGCTGAATTTGCAGAAGACTTTTGCTTTCCCCCATTCTTACATGCTTGGATCTGAGTAAAGACATGACATGCAGAGCATGTGCCATAGAATAAATGCCATTGTAGATGTTGTAACTGTGACTGGTCATGCTCATTTCAAACCTGTGGTACGGCAGGCTCTCTAGCTTCTCCTTCCCAGTACATCTTATCTTTCCCCATTTAAAAGGCTTTCCTGAATTCAGGAACTGGCAGCCAAATGCAAGTTCCCACCAATCACGGAGAAAGATGTCTCCTTGAGGTCGCAGTGGGTTTAAAGCCTGCAGAAAGGACTTGAATTCTGGCACATCCTTCCTTTGGACTCTGAAGTGCAAAGCACCATGGATGTTTTTAACATATTGTCCACTTAAGGAAGATCCTTTTGAAGAAACTTCCCACTGGGACATCATGATCCAAACCTTCTGAAACATGGTCTTTGTCTTTTTTTGATGAACAGACAATAAAACTATTAATTGCTGTACTACATTGGAGTCTCCATAGAAAATTATGACTTGAGGTTCAAACCAAGACTGAGGAATTGATCCAGCCTGTACACGGCGCACATGGACTGGGTCCATTGTTTTGAACATATCAGTAAAGGCCACACAGATGTCCTTCTCCTTGAGCTTTGCTGTCAGTGTCTGGGTAAACATTTCCCCACTGTCATCACCATGAACTACCAGACCAATCCAGTTCCAGTGGAAATGCAAGAGTAGCTGGACCAAGCCCACATACTGAGCACTTTCATGGGGATCAATCTGGAAGAAGGAAGGAAACACCCTCTTTTCTCCATGAAGCAGGTGGAGAAAGCTGTATCCAAGCTGAAGCAAAAAAAAAAAAATCCTTTTAATCTCTGATAACATGGTTTGGTGGCATTTTGAAGACTGAGTAGGATGGTGTAACTTGGTGTCCTGCAAGAGCAGAGGTTGGACCCAATGGCCTTCATGACCCTTCCAGCTCTACTATTCTGTGATTCTATGTTTGTTCAATACTCAATGGAGTAATCTAGGTGATGTCTGTTGTCCTATCCAGAAGGAAGATTTCTAATGAAAGATATCCAAACAAAGAGTGAAGCTGTGCAATATCTTAAGGCCCTGTTCTCCAACATGCACACATTCTTAGTGTGGACACCACCACAAAAGTCAGGACTATCACAAAAGTAATCCTTAGCAGAGTTCTAAAAATTACAATGAATAAGCCTGTGACTCTTTGTATGTGTAAGTGTAAATCAACCAGACGGCTGTGATTATTTGGTTGTATAGAGTCATTGTCACATCATCATCACCACCACCACCACCACCACCTCTGGTTTTAGGGCACCTCCCCAAAGACAATCCTCTGTTCAAACTGGTTCTGTTCCTTGTCCAAGACATCACAGGCCTCCTTGGTATGTTTCCCAGTCTGAAACATCTTTTCACAGCAGAACCATTACCAGCTGATATTACTCACATAAAAGCCCGTGGAGATTCTTGGCCACCAACTGGGTTATTATGCCCTCCTGCCAACTTCTAGCCATCTAGAATCAATGCACCTCACCCCTGGCATGGGAAAATCTGTTTTCAAAGGCTGGCCTGTCCGCTTTAGAGCTTGCAAGCTCTTTCAGTCTCTTACACACATGCCCAAATATTATCCCTTTATTGATACATCGCCTACCTGTGGGACCTTGTAGATGCCCGTTAAGGATGCGATCTCCCTTGAGGATTTGAAGTCCAGACCCCCAATGATGGAGACCAGTCTGTTGTGCCTGTCACACTTATAATTGGGAAATGCTCTCCCCCGTGTGGAAAGAAGAGAGAGATTGTTCAAATGCATCAGAATAGTGAGGTCCTTGTGCTGATAGATTCGGAATCCCAGTGTTGCATTTGGAAGGAGATTTGGATCCTTGTTGATCTCAGTGACTGCAAACACAAATGCCAGGAAGTGCTGGTAGTTCTTAACGATTGTCCTGTAATTGTGAGAATGACAGTGGGGTAGGTTCCCAGTGAAAAAGATGAGAAGTGGAGATTAGAAAGTCTATCTGTTTCAACAAACAAAGAAACTTCCTTCTGGACATCTACACAAAGGCTACATTCAGGAATCAAAGTCTTAGCAGATGCATTTCATGGGCATCTAAACAGTAGGAAATTTGCTTCCCCATATTCCTATTGTATATATACGCAGTCTTATCTATTTTCATCATTTATGTTCCACCTTTCTGGAGGCAAATGCTTTCAAGATAGCCGTTATGTAAAACTTAAACACCATAATAATAGAAAAATGAGAAAAATGTATTATTTATATATATATATATATATATATATATATATATATATATATATATATGACAATATGTATTGAAAAGTAAAAGTGTTCCAGGAACCTTCTCATACACAAGCTGTGGATTGAACTAGACTTAATCATTAAATTGTCAAAGAATAAAGTCAAAGGAACACCAAAAACCTGATCTTCATGATCAGAGGAAGTTCATTCCCATGACTGGGTCATTCCATCAAGCTGAGTAACTGGAATCTCCCATTGGTCTTTTAATATGTTTCCTAAGAAGCCCCCACAAGGAGAGGAAGAAAACAAATCTCCTTTTGCCCACATTGGAGGAGTGAAGAACCACCCACTGATGAACTGAAATGCGCAGACTGACTTTGTCTCTGAAGGAGAAAGAGGATACATATTTTTATCAAACTTGGAACTCTTTTTATCATTGTCTAGAGAAACGGGACAATGCGTAGATTTGAATATGTTTATGGATTGCAATAAAAAAATGGGAGGCTGACCCAGCAGGTCTGATGGTTCTGATGATTGATATTCTTTTAGTTTCTTTTGTTTTAGTTTGTAGAAAATAATGATAAAATTTACCCAAAAAAAAATCTCCTTTCTTCTTTTCCCCTACACAGCAAATCCCATTCAGTGGTAGACCATCTCACATAATGGAATCTATCTAGCAGTCAATGGTAAGAACTCCAAAACAATTTTAAAATCAATCTAAACCAAGTAACTTACATTAAATCTTCCTGTAGATTTTGTACGAGTGAGCCAAATCTAGGAAAAAATGAAGTCTTTTTTCACAAACCCCTGAAGCTTATTTGCACAAACTCTAGGTGAGGCTTGGAAAGACCTCAGTTAGAAGCCCTGGAGAGATGTTTGCACTCAGGGAAGGCAAGAGGGAATCATTTGCACCAAAGCTCTGACATGGTATGAAGCAAATTCCAATTTAAATAAGCCCAATATTCAGAACCCCAAGGATTTTTAAAATTACATTTCCCTTTTGGTGTGTCTTCATATAGGGGGAACCAATCTGTCATTCTTGAATGCAATACACTGTTCAGCCAGTGCGATTTTGTTTGAAATGCTGCTAAAGTTTATTTCATGCAATGAAAGTACTGCTGCTGGTCAGTTGATGACTCCAGGATTTGTTAGCGCTCTCCCTTCTGGAGCCACAAAAGCCACACAGATGTTGCACACCAGTGAACTCATCCAGACCCTCAAGGATGCCCAAAGCATGCATCCCAGGGGTCCACAGCTGTACTTCACAGTCGTTCATGGGGGTTACAGTCCAAGCATTAGCTGGGAATTGAGAGAGCTTGTTGGAGCTGCTCCATTTCTGACAAGCACCAGAGCCTGGAGTCCGGTGTGCCAAAGATATAGAAACATAGAAACAGTCAGAAGGGTCCTTCTGGGCCATCTAGTCCGACCCCTGGCTCCAGCTGGCTCTGCTCATGACATGCCTACCATGTGCATGTCCAGCCTATCCTTAAACACCCTCACCAATGGGGCATCAACCACCTTCTGTGGAAGCCCATTCCATTCCCTTGGGGTGCTAGCCCTCAGGAAGTACTTCCTGGCATCCACCTTGAAGCTTTGCTCCATTCGAATGCATCCTGCCCTTTACTGCAGGGGGAAACAGGTCATGACCCACCTCTGTTTGGCACCCCCTCACATACCTATATGTTGCAAATGTATACATGATTTATTGTGAGTTTAAAAGGTTGGATTGAGCACCAGACATGAGCGGCACCCACAGAGCTTCAACACAAATCCCTGTGCCTGGTTTCACTCAAATTTCCTTCATTTCAGCTGCATAATTTAGAGTGGGAAGGAACTTTGTTCCTGCCGATACTGCAGAATTGTGAATACTCAGTAATCACTCACTGGTCACCCAGGGAAAATGCAGACCTGTCTTCCCCAAACTTGTCTGAGAAATAGCTTGCCTGGGGTGAAGGGGTGGGAAGGGGCACTTTCTAAGCACGACTGCTTTGTCAGCATAAACCAAAATTGCTGGTTACTGTGCCTCTGCCCTTGGAAGGGAGCCAGGGAAGATCCCAAAATCTTTGGCTGTCATTGCAGGCTGAAAAAAATCCTGAGAAGCCCCTGAGACTGAGGAAACCTCCATCATCTGCTGTTTGCCAAGTCTGAAGGAGAACTCTAGTCTGAAAGAAAAGCAGGTGAAATTTGCCCCAGACCCTTCTGCAGAAGCTTACGCTGGAATAGCTGAGAGCTGAAGTGGGGCTAACCCACGAAAATCACTTGTCTTTGTATAAGAATAGCAGCCAAGAGGCAAATTCCCACCAACAAGGAGATCTCCTGGTCTGAAATAGTCCTTCGGTCCAATAAGACTGGTCTTGAGACATGTCCTCAGCATCTCCTGTGTGGCCTATGGCAGGAGCCAAAATATTAGAAGCAGCAAAAGCATTGAGGGCTCAGAGAGGGTTTCTCTCCTATGTCACCAACCCAGTGGAAATTGAGGGAGAGTAAAATGCACAAGTCCCAGCAGGAGAATTAGATCTTAGCCAGAAAGGAGCAGACACTGAGTGATCTAACCCTGCTCATGTGCTGCACAGAAGAGCTCAGAATGGACTTTGAGTGAGCAAGTGTTTCATGTATTTCATTGCTCGTCAGCCAGTGAATGGAAATCCAGGTGGAGTCCTCAGGAATTACTGCTATTTTCATGATTCTAGTGTGGTGAAAGGAGTGTAATCCCAGAACTGCAGGCTCTATTTGCCCTTTGGGGAAGACAAACAGAGTTGCATCACTTTCAGCTTTCTTGCGGGCCTTCTTGGAATCACAGAATCATGGAACCATGAAGGCCATCCATCCAACCCCTTTTGTTGTGGGACACCAATGTACAAAATCCCACTCAGGAGATGGTCTAGTTTCTTCATGAATGTCTCTAATGTCGGAGAGCCCAGCACCTATCTAAGCAGCTGGTTTCATTGTTGTAAAGGTATTTTGGTAGTGTTTCAGTGGCCTGATCCTGACACGAAGGATGTGTCATAGTTACTCCAACCTGGGACAAGGTTTTGCTGGCTGGAGAATAAGGAAAGTTGGAGCACTGCTGCCCAACTATCAATGCTCTCCTTGACCATCACTCTTACACTCTAGTACCCGAACCATTGGGAGGGGGTGACTGGCTTCTTGAAATGGGAAAATGAATATGGGGCAACCCAAATTGCCTCTTTTTATCAGTTAAGTGTAGCTGTTAAGGTTAACTTTCCTCGCTCTCCAGAGACTGGACAACTTTCTTCTCTTTCCCACTTGGCAACTGCACCAGGTTAAAAACCTACCTTCCGAATCCCGAGTCTCCCAATTTGTCACTGCAATGCCACAACTGAATTATTGGATAGGAATAGAAGAAACCCTTGGGAAGGTTGTGAGTGTCTGGGATGGGAGATTCCATACCTAAATCTGTATTTCAGACAGATATTATTTCACTTTTTTAAAATAGGAAGAAATTTCCCTTTAACAATATCACCAAAGATTGCTGATGGACCCTCATTGGAGAGTCCTGGAGACAGCAGGGTTTCTTTTCCACTACATCAAAGGTTGGTAGAGTTAAGACAGCCTGTCTTTCCAAGGCCTTCTTTCATTCCAAGTCCATGCATGACATGGAATAGGGACAGTAGAAAATCTGCAAAGCTGCATTGATGGCCCCAAAGTTCCCTTTTAGTCGTCCAATGTGTGCTCTGGTGTGCAGTCCCTTTGTCAGGCTGAGGATGTTGGCAGATAGAAAAGGAAAAAGGGCAAAGCACTTTCCCCAAAAATATTTTTCTGAACAAACAATTATTTCTTTGAAACAACCAAACATTGGTTGCTATGTTGACATGTGTGAGAGTCGATGTTTACAAGTATATAAAAGATGCAAGGGGGCATTCTAGTACCTACATGTGTGGGCCCATACCATCTCAGCAGACACAAAATTATTGGGAAACTTGATTCTCATTGTGCATAAATTTAATCAGAGAGCACATTTTTCTCTTGACATGGAAAGTAGCAGGTTTATGGTGCACCCAAGTTCAGCAGATGTGCTTTGCAATTTATTGTGCACTTTGTGTTGGTTGGATGGATACAACAACCCAGTTTGCAATGGCATCAAAGAACCTTGTGCAGGGAAAGGGGTAGAATGGCCAGACACTGTCCATCTTCCTTTCCTACAATTCAGAATAATTGATGGGAGATGAAGTGATCCTCTGTCTACTACTCCAAGCTCCTGTGAAGTGTGTAAAGGCCTTTCATTAACCTGTTTTAAGCTGTGGTCTCCCACAACCCAGATTAATTGTGCCATGCATTGCAGTTGAGATAATAAGTCTATGCACAAACCCATGAAAGGAAAGAGCCTTCCCTTCAGCCCTGGGGGTAAGGTCCATACCACATCCTCCTGCTGCACTCCACTCAATTGCCAAGGACTGCAGTGGCAGTGATGGAAGGAGCTGGGAGCTGCCACGTTACACTGTAAGAAACCTCTGAATTCAAGAAAATAGGGCCAGAAGGTGGAGTGATATGGTGGCCACCTCTCCCATGTAAGTACAGCTGATTTCTACTGGGATCAATTCTTGTGTCCATGCTCAATTTCCTTTGCAAACTGTGCCCATTTTGGTGGCTATTTTTGCAGGGATAAAACATAAGGAAATTCCAGTGAATGGCATTTGAATATTGCCAAATATTTTTGTGTATATTAAGCTATCCCCTTCATACTGTTATAATCAGAGGACAATCCCAGGGCCACATTACACATGAGAGTAAACTAGATTTTTCTAAAGTAGTTGCCTTCACTGTGGGGTGCCCCATAAACTCCAGTTGTGAAAAAAGGGTATTTCAGATTATTGATTTATTCAGGTGAAAATAATGAACAGAATTTCACCAAATCATGAAATCCTTAGATTACATTTTCCTTATGAGATGATCTCTGGTATTGAGACAGGGATGCAAATAAATGATGTAGCATTTGGGCAGAAAGATGCATCCCAGGAGAACAGCCCCAGAGGACAGGATGGAGAAGACCTCCACCGCCACTGCATACTTCCCCTTGGTGCTCAGGTAGGCGGGCACAAAGGAGACCCACATGCTGCAGAAGACCAACATGCTGAAGGTGATAAACTTGGCTTCATTGAAGCTGTCTGGAAGTTTCCTGGCCAGGAAAGCCACACTGAAGCTGAGAAAAGCCAGGAAGCCCATGTAAGCCAGGACAGCATAAAACATGATGACAGAGCCTTCACTGCATTCCACAATGATCTCTCCAGGGAGAGAATGAAAGTCCAGATTTGGGAAAGGGGGAGAGGTCAGCAACCAGACAACACAGATAACACCTTGGATGAGGGGACAGGCCAGCACAATGGAGGTTGTCAGTGGTCTCCCTAAGAGACGACTTGCCATGCTTCCTGGTTTGGTGGCCATAAAGACCAAGACCACCACGACTGTTTTTGCCAACACACAAGAAACTGCAAGAGAGAAGGTCGTGCCAAAAGCAGCTTGTCGGAGAAGACAGGTGAGTTTTGTGGGTCGACCAATGAAGAGGAAGGAGCAGAGGAAGCAGAGAAAGAGACAGATGAGGAGGGTGTAGCTGAGGTATCGGTTGTTTGCTTTGACAACAGGTGTGCCATGATATTTAATGAAAGTTGCCAACACAGCAGATGTGGCAAGGGAGAGGAAAAGAATGAGAGAAACCAAAAGGAGCCCCAGTGTCTCTTGAAAGGAAAGGTAGTGGAGTTTCTTGGGGATGCACTGGTCGTGGTTCTTGTTTGGGTGCTGATCTTGTGGGCACGGAGAACATTGAGCTGCATCTGAAATGAATGAAAGCCATGGAACCATCTGAATTTTGACAGAGAAGTTTTTTTGTGGGCAACACCTACCCTTAAAGGAAGATGTGAAAATCTCCTTCCCCTAGATTAATCTGCATCTTTTAATTAAGCTTTGGCCATCATTATAAAACCTGAAAATGTCCCCTCCACACAATCTTTCATAACATTCTTTCTTTTCTCTTGAAGACTATTCTTCATCTAGAAATGAAAAATGAGAAGTGCTAAAATATGTCCCCTGTATTATGACATGCACAAACTAAAAAATGCACATTAGGCACAAATTTCTGCATACTGTGCACTGATCTCTGATATTTTTTTCTGCTGAGGCTGGAAGTCAGACTGCCAAAATCAGAGCTTCCCTTGTGCCACGCACTGCTCTTATTTCATTTCCTTCTGCATTTATGTATGGCTTTAAATACTTGAGGTACCTGAAGAAGTGGAAAACATCCTCACTATACAACGTTCACATGTGTAGCAGCAAACTGGCTTCCCCTCTGGAACTCTCCTCCAGTGCCCGGGAGTGCACCTCTCAACACACCTTGCACGGGGCATTGTCTAAAAGTGAAAGTAAGAAACACTTGAACATTTTTCAAAGAGAAAAATGCAATGAAGAGCTACTCAATGGATATTCCACCAACATGAGTTTTGCATTGCTTGGCAGAAAGGTTCACCAAACAAGGTGGGGAAAAAAATTCTGGAGGAATCTGGCTGTCTCATCCACCCTGGTATACATGTTCCTGTTCAATCCCTTCTGTGCAGAAACAAGCATCTTTGGAAGCTTCCTTCTACTGGATGCACCCCTGGTCCATTGTGTCCATTCTTCCTGTCACTGGCAGTACTTCTGCAGTAATACAAGCATTGGGCATCATTTTGAAACTCCCTGCACTGTGCAGGAACAGATCATAGGATTTATGTGGAGTAAAGTTTGTCCTTTGATGGTGGACAATAACACCCCACTTCCCCACAGCAAGTGGGACTTGAGTCTCAAAACAAAGCACAGCATCTCATTTGAAAGAGTGGAATTCAGCCATGCCCCAACTTTCAATACCCGTATGCTTCACTCTAGCATCACCTTCATTGCCCACACGATTGCTGCAGAGTGGATGGAGAAGTCTTTGCCTGGAGGAGCACCATGATCAACCCATCCCACTTTCACAGCATCCAAAGTTCCATTTGGAGACACGCTCCAGTTCAAAATGTCATATCTCCTTTCTTTCTCTGTGAAAGAAACTTCCTCCCCAGCAGTGTTGTTAAACCGGATATTCCTTAGGGGCTCAAGTATCTGAAAATGCAGAAATATTCAGCACAGGGGAAAGTTAATGGAAGTGTTTTCCAATGCACTCTGACTCCCATCAAGTTCAGACGTCTCTTTTCCCCGTGTTATGCGCCTGTTAATTGTTTGGGAAACATTTCCTGGTGGTTCTTTCTACCACTACCCTTCTGAGGAGTGAGCTAGAGAACAGTTGCCCAGAGCAGCCCTGACCAGCAGTCCAGTTTAACACACTTATGTAACATGTGGGTTCTCCCTCTGCTGCCAAGAAGGAATATTCTGAGTGGGACAGGGCCATGGCCCATGCTACATAAGTGTGTTTAACTGGAATGGCCAATCTGAGGATGCAACTTGAATGCTTCTTCATTCACAATATGTACAATTTGGAAAACATCAGTATTCCAGGAGCACCACCAAACCCTGCTGAGTTTTTCTTCCTTTTGAATGTCCACTCAGGGAAAATGCATCCATGGGGAAAAATCAATGGGGAATGTTTTTCATAAGGTTGCTTAATGCGGCTTCCTTGAAGACTATCCCTTCCAGATTTTGGTAATGTAAACATAAATTGGGCACTTTTTACCATATGTGGTAGACTTGCGACAATGTGAAACAGTATTGGATTAAAATACATAAATGGCTTGAGGAAATGTTACAAAACCCTTAGCTTTTAAACCTGAAGTTTTTTTATTAGGCATCATACCAGAGGATATCAGTGAACAAGAAATGTATTTGATTTTACATGTAATCACTGCAGCGAGGATTGCATTTGCTCAACACTGGAAAAGTGAGGAACTACCCACCGATGAACTGATTCTAAAAGAGATTCTGGACTGTGCAGAAATGGATAGATTGACTTTATCACTGAAGGAGAAAGAAGATACAGACTTCTATCAATTTTGGGACTCTTTATTATTGGCTAGAGAAACGGGACTTGGCTTATATTTAAATATGTTTTTAAGCTATCATAAATGGATTTAAATATGACTATGGAATGTTAAAAAATATGAGTAGGGAGCTGACCCCGTACGTCTGATGTATTTGATGATTGAAGTTTTTAGTGTTAGTTTAAACATCTTAATAAAATTTATTTAAAAAAAAAAAGACTATCCCTTCCCTCCTGGATCATTGACTGAGCAACCACCTGGGCTCCTTGAATAAGTTCATGAGATCGGATCCAGACATTACCTGCCATGGCTGAATGTTCAGAAGTTGCTTCCTTTCCCCCTTCAGTGAATGTTTCATTCTAGAAGAGGACAGGGCATGTAGCAAATGTGCCACTAAATAGACAGAATTGTAGATGTGGTAGCTGGGACTGGACATGTCCAATTCGAACTGAAACTCATTTGGATCCTTCTGCATCTCCCTCCCTGTACACTTTTTGCTGGATGGTGGAACATGTTTCCCAGACCTTAGAAACTGGCACTGGAATGACTCTTCCCACCACTCGTGGAGAAAGATGTCTCCTTGAGGGTGGAATGGATCTAAAGCCAGGAAAAAAGCCTTGAATGCTGGAACATTCCTTGTGTGGGGTCTGAAGTGCAAAGCTCCATGAAGCTTCTTTGCCAAATCTCCAATGCCAGAACTTCCATTTGCTTCAAATTCAGAATGGGAGGTAAGGATCCAAACCTTCCGAAATGGGAGCTTTGCATTTTTTTCATAAACATGTAACCGGAATGTTAATCCTATTGTATAAGTGTTGTCACTGAAGAAAACTATGACTTCTGGTTCGAACCACACATGAGGAATGTATCCAGTTTGAAATCCATGAATATGTGCAGCTTCAGTTGTTGAGAATACTTCAGTGAAGGACACACAGAGGTCCTTCTGCTGCAGCAGGGGGGTCATTGCTTGGAGGAAACGCTCGCCATGGTCATCCTTCTGAACAAGCAGCCCGATCCAGTTCCAGTGGAAATGCAGCAGCAGCTGGACTAGGCCCTCATACTGAGGAACATGTTGGGTATTAATCTGGAAGAAAGATGGAAACAGCATTTTTTCGTCCAGAACACAGTGTAGCAAACACGATGAGAGCTGATGCCAGGACAATTCTGATAATCCTTCATATGAATATTGGCTTGCACTTTTAAAACAAAGATGCTACTTCTGTGGGCTAAGCTTCCATTCTCTAGTTGCCCTGACTTAAAATGCATGGAGAGCTATCCTGGGAAAGGTATCATTCTTTCAGCTGGGATATGTGAATATATGCAGAAGCTCCCAGTTTCCACCCTCTCCAACCCATCTTCCATGGATCTCTTCACCCAAAGTCACACGGAAATGCCCAGCCTTAACGCTCATATTTCTACAAACATCATGAATGATATGGACTGAGCCCTGGCAGAAGGACTCCCCATGACAAAAAAGAGATCTGTTCATATTCAAAGGGTACATCTTGCTGCATGCATATGCAGAGATTTGGGTCTGGTCTCCAGTGACAATAGTTGGTGAAAATAGTTCCATCTGATGTCCAAGTAAAACAGGACACGTAAAATTGGGGAAAAATGCTATTGAGGTTTCCTCAGAACCAGAAAATGCCTCACAATAAACTATTTCTACTTCCAACCAAAATCATTTGGCTGAACCTTGAAGAATGGAAACAAGAACTTGGGTTGAGTCCTGTGGGAGAAGTTCCAGGTCAAGTTAGGACATTTTACACCAACTAATTGCCCACAGCAAGTTCATGTGGAGTATGTCCACCCAAGCAAGCGTGCCATAGCATTTCTCTCCTTTGGCATGCCAATTTTGATTGTTCCAGAGGTAACTCCTGGCCATTAAAAAAAAAAAAATCTTGTATGTACAGCTCTTTTTTCCTGCAAAGGGACTCAAGGCAACTTTTATGATTTTCCTCCTCCTCTCAATCACATTCTCTCTACAACAACCCTGTTAGGTAGGTTGGGCTTAGAGCCTGTGGCTGGCCCAAAGCTACCCAGGGAACTCCAGGGCTCAGTGGGAATGAGAACCCAGACTGCCAGAGTCCAAGTCCCACCGCCTTAACACCCTTAAGCACAACACCACCCTGGCTCTCTTGAGGACATGGAGCCTTTGAAGACCCAGTACATCCCACTGTGAGATACTGGGTGAGATTCTGGCCTGTAACCAACCTGTGAGCCAGTTCATTCACTGATGCTAGGAAGAACTGCCCGCACTTTGTCGCACCATCTTTGTTTCTGTCTCCACAAAGTGTCACAGGAATACCTGATATTTCTCGCTATTGATCATCTTGGTAAGACATACTCCTTGCTTGCTGGGACTTGTCACTCAAGACTTTCCACTGATTCATTCATGTCCTCCACTGAGGTGGTCCCATGGCAGCTTCATGAGGTGAGAAGGTCCCATGCCCTGCCATCCAGGACTGAAGAAACCACCCATTGCAGGGGCAAATCTGTTTTCAGAGCTGGCCCTTCTCTCTGCAGGTCCCTCACACCTATCTCCAGATGGGTTCATTTACCTCTGGATTCTTGAAGATGCCCAATAAGGATGCAATGTCTGATGAAGCTATAGTGTCAAAATCCTTTATGACAGAGATTAGTTGATCCTGCTTGTCACATTTATAATTGGGAATCATTCTCTTCCGTGTTGACAGCAGGCTCAGGTTGTTCTCATGCATTAGTACAGCCAGGTCCATGTGCTGATAGATGCGGAAGCCGAGCGTCGTGTTGGGAAGGAGCATGGGATCCTTGCTGACCTCTGTGGTGGCAAACACCAACGCCAGGATGTGCTGGTAGTTCCTGACTATTGACCTGTAATGGTGAGAGCAATATCAGGACACAGGTGAGGATAAGCACAGAACAGGTGAAATCTTTTTCTTGAAGGAAATGTGCCAGGATCTTTTTCTCCAGGGGCACTTACCAAGGGTATCTATAGCTGAATGTGCTTTATATGTTCTTCAATAATTTGCCAATGTTAAAAACAGGAGAAAGAAGACTGCAAGGAAATTGTTCCCATGTAGGACAGAAACAGGTACCTCCATTGGTCAGCCAAAATATTATGGGGAACCCACAAGGAAGAGTTGAACATAAGAGCCTCTCTTCCTCTATCTCATCCTTCTGCATAGATGGGTGCCTAGAATGTAGTCTCTCTGAAGGGATCAAGATGGAGAGCCCCCTTCTGTCCTCCAGGAATTCACCTGAGCCTTTCCAAGGTAACTTCAATCCAGGAGTCATCAGGGCATCTCCAAACACTCTGAGCTGTGGAGTCTGGGTTTGGGGCTCTTTGGTAGCTGAAGGGGATGTGTGTTTGACAGAAAAAGGCTTGAATGAGTTCACATCTCCAGGGCCCAATGAACTCCATCCTAGCATCAGAAAGAGCTGACTGAAGAACTCTCAGAACCACTCTTTATTATCTTTGAGAAATCAGGGAGAACAGCAGATGAGTGAGATGACTGGAGAAGGGTGAATGCTTTCCTAACCTTGAAGAACATAAAACAAGAAGAACCTGGGAGCTGCAAACCTCTCAGTCTGACATCAATCCATACAAAATATTTTGGGCAATTCGTAAAGCTTTCAGTCTGCACACACCGTGAAAACACTGCAGTGGTTACTAGAAGTTAACATGGATGTCTCAATAACAAATTTTGCCAGACACACCTGATTTCAGTTTTTGACTGGGTAACATCCCAAATGGACAGTGGGAATACTGCAGCTATAATCTATCCAGAGTTTAGCAAAGCCTGTAGATACAATCTATCCAGACTTTAGCAAAGTGTTCCTCAACATCCTCATTACCATTAGGTTGATCCACAAGTGACTATCCACAAGTGTTGGGAAGGAGGGAACGATCGTTGTTGAACTGTGATGGCAAAACCAGAATGTCCTGGTAGTTCTGGACTATTCTCCTGTAATGCCAAGAGGGACATTAGGGTACAGGTGAAGGGAAGCATCAACCTGATGAAAATTGGCAGGTTTGATGGTCTATCTTGTTCAGACTACTGTGGGGAGAGTCACATCCTTCTACCCAAAGCTGTTATATGTGAACGGTTCATGGAGAAAATCTCTGTTCACACACAGAGACACAAAACTTTTCTGCCTGTGTTCATGTGAACTTCCCATGAGCCCTGCTGGATCTGACCTTTGCTTCACCACATTTGCATTTCAGCTGAACCTCAAGCAGTGCTGATGTTCCTGTTACTAGCAGGAAAATGCTTCCAAACTGGCTCTCACAGAAAATGATCATGCAAGAACAAAATCAAACAGAATCTTCTCTCTTCTTGGGCAGAAGTGCACCAGGCTGCTTTCCACAGGTGAATTCTGACAAGTTAACTTTGACTAAAAACCAAGCAGCTTCAACTATTTGTCAAAGGAGAAGAGAGGAAAAGGAATCGTGCAGGAGCCTTCCCAGATCAAGGAGAGTGGTTCCTTAGAGCACTGTGGTGGGTTTTCCCTTGCTCAGTCAAGGTGATTATGGGGAATCCCACAAGGAAGTAAACACAAGAACCACTCTACTGACCCCCACCACATTCAACTAGAGAGTGTCCTTGAATTGAACCTCACCTAAGAGATCAGGCTGGAGAGCCCCCAGTGTTCTGTCCTCCAGAAATTCACCTTAGCCTTTTGCAAGCAAACTTAATTCCAGGAACCATCAAATGCTCTGTAAAGCAATGCCACCTTTTGTTCAAAATCCACAGCTCCTCAAGCAAAGAATGCTGGGCAGTCTGGGGGCTCTGCTTCCCATGCGACGGTTTGAGGATCAATCCCGGCATGTCCAGGGAGGGCTTGGGAAGCCCCAGACTACAGGTCCCTCTCAGTGCAGGCATGGTGAATTTGACTGCACTAAAGTAATGAGTGCACATTAACCAGCTTCTGACAAAGCTTGCATGCAGGAGAATTGCTCTATATTGTGACTGAGAGTATATTTTGGGCTATAAGGCAAATTTTATGAAGAATGTTTAGCTGCCTAGGCGGTACAAGAACTGAAGGAGAAGAACAGATGGGGTAACTTAGGACAGAGATATTCTTTTCCTCCCCTTTCAGGGACTTCCTGGAAATGGAAAAGATTCTGTTATTCTTGAACTTACTCTCTATTTCGGAATATTTGATGTGCATTGCACAAGTGTTACTCTGTGCAAGACATATACCTGACAAGTAACTATTTCAGCCCCAGTTAGCAGAGCTCCTTTTTGTGCAGCTGTGACACCCACCCATAGACATCTGCATGCAAAAGACTCCCATCTGCAGTCTGGAACTGCCCATCACATGCAGCTGTGGGGATCTCCAGATTGACCCAGGATCTGATTGGGAATGATGGGAGTTGTGGCTCAAAGGACCTCTTGGGGTTCATACCTCATGGTGGGAGGGAGGGAATTTTGGTGCTAGTGTAACAGAGCTGCTTGTCAGAAAGGCTTGCTGAGCTCAAACCCTCTGCCAGTAGATTCAGCAGATCCTAAAAGGTAAAGTTCTTAGAACACAGCACCACCTTCCCATCCCTGTCTCAGATGGATTCTGCTTGTGGCAGAGATGGCAGGACAACCTTCCATCTTCCAGGGATTGTCAACACATGAACTAACTGCTGGCTCCCTCACTTGCACAGCCCATCTCAGAATGAGTCCCATGAAGAAATCCCAGGTCCAGCTCTTATTTTTGGTGAAGTCCCTTCTGACAAGGTTCTGTGATTCTCATTCTCAACATTTCTTTCTACTTGAGCAGAATATCTGACACACTTCCCTGAAATGAGCCCCCTGGTATGAAAGCAAACATGCACACATACATCCCAGATTTCTTTGAGTTAAACCTACAGCATATTAACATTGAATCTCATTTGCGGTGCTTTATGAGAACTTCCTAGACTGGTTAAGGAAAATCTGCCAAGTAGTAAATTCCCACCGACAATTAGGTCTCCCAGCTTGTCATAGTCTTTTTGCTGTATAATTGGTTGGGTCAAAGAACAACTTGTCCTCATCATCCTGTGGGTGGCCTGAGGCAGAAACCAAACCAGTAGTAAGAGCAGGACAATCATCATGGCAAGAGGAATGTTGTCCTTCCTTGGTTAGCAAGAAGCAGAGGAAAGGCAATCTTTGCAGCCTCTCCAGGAGGAGCGAATCTCTAGAAGAGAAGTGCAGGCAGGCAGGCATCAGAAGTGCAGGCAGCTCTACACCAAAGAGCTTGGGGCACTTTTGTACTCTTCATGCTTTCTAGTGGATTTCTTTGTTATTGACTTGCTGTATGGAAACCCATATGGAATTCCTCAAGAACTGTCCATAATTGCAGGTGAGGGAAATAAGAATTGAGCAGGAGCCCTGGGGTGAGAAAAAGGGGTTTGCATCACTCTTACCTTCTATATGGACCTTTAGGAATTGACTGTCCCTTTCTGCCTCTTGCACTGTGGAAATTGAAGGCCCATCATCCAGGAAAGAGACCAGACTTAGGCCAAAGTTGTTAGCAATGTTGTTGGCTCAGAAATGGAGAGGTGGTTCAAGGTGATTGCTGCACTGGCTGGAATGGCTGCAAATTCTGAAGGCCATTCAACCTGCAGGACCCATTCAGATTGTCCACCAGAAGACCTCTGTCACTGAGTGACCATCAGTGTCATTTGTCTGGCTCTTCAATGAAGTGGTCAAAGTCTGGATAGCTGCCACTGGGCATACAGTCCCCTACCATTGATTGGCAAAGTGGTCAGTCTGATGCAGTCTGGCCCATACTGCCTCTCTAGGAATGCCCACATCTAGATCCTTTCCCCACTTGCTTCTCCATACATGCAGAAAGAGGAAGGAGACTCCTGCAATTACAGCAAAGGGGCAATGTCAGATAGAGTGCAACATTACTTCCACTTTCATTTGTTTTTGCAGGCCAACTTATCGTGATGGGGGAACCATGTTTAAAACGAGTCAGGGAAATGTTCTCATGGCAGACCGAGGTGTGCAGGCTCATTTTGCAGTGATCAGTTAGTAGGAAGGGATGAAATGTTTCAATCATTTTCCACCTGTTGTGCTCAGAATGGCTTGCCTGGACTGGCTGATGGCGAGCAAGATGACACCAAATATCTTGCAGACTGGGTTTTCCAGGTTCAGAGTCTCCTGTTTTACCAGTGTCTCTTGAGGTGCCACCTCTTGATTGTTCCTGTTCTTGTGTGCAGTCAAATCATCACAGAACTCTGGCAGCCCTGTGAATGTTTCCCCTCCAAAACCTCCAGTCCTGATTGGTTCTTGTCAATTCAAAGAAGCACCTTCCTTTATGTAGGCCTTTCCTGTGCATGGGACCTAGCCAGGTGGTTGCTGGTTTTGTCTAGGCACTCTTGCACAAAATAATGCATCTTGATCCATTTTAGTCACTCTCCATGTTTGGTTTCTGAATGGAAACTGCTTTTGTCTCCTTATGAAGAGCTTTGCTTGGAGAAGGACTCTGGCAGAAGCTTGACTTGAGATTCTGAGCTGAAGACTTCTGGGTTCTGTTTGACTTTCTTGCTCAGAAAAGAATTCCATGCCTAGACTTCCTTGGATCAAGGGCTGTGTATTTCAGATAATGTGCAAGCCATCATCCCCAGATTCCCAACTTTCCATTTTTTAAAAAGGCAAATCTCCAGGTTATGTGGACCCTGAGATCTAAGGAAAAAAGCACAGCCTTCTTCTAACCATTTTTGTTGTGTGAAAGTATCTTGTGTATAGGTATTTATACTCAATCTTGCAATGGCTGGTGCAGTCAAAATTTGTGCATGCTGTCTCTTCCATGTGTGTGAAATTGCAGTTTTGTTTGGTGGATTTTGGGCTTTGAAGTTGTCTCCCCAAACCAAAAGAGTAGAAGAAATGCCA